GTTAAAACAAACGTCGCTTTGTGTGTGTGGTCTGTAAAAGCTTTGTCATAAAACGTCAAGATTCAATTTTCTCTACACCCCCGATTGTTATCTTATCTATTTACAAACCGGACTACTTTAAGGCTGGGTGGTGGTGATTTTTGCTATCCACGTCGATGATCGATGGAGATGGGATACGAAGTCGAACGAGAAGCAGGACGCTGTGGCTCAGGTCTTTTCTACCTGAATACCCATCATAATACTTCATTCGGTTTTGTTTGCCTAAGGAGGAAAGAGATTATCGAGCGGTTAGAAGAGGCGTGACCGTGTGTAATTTGAGTTAGTGTGACAAGTCATTGGTTTCTGATTTATTTATAGCACAAAATTAACTTGCATTTAATTGAAAATTAATATAAGATGAAACTTGTTATCTGGCACTTATCTGCAAAAACACAAAAGCTTAAAGATTAAACATTAAGATAATCCGTAAATATATACAACTTACAGAAAAAATCCTGAAGAAACAGCGTTTTAAAGCTAAAAGATCAAACTTTAAGACTATCTATAAATATGCACAACTTTATCATAAAATTNATTATCTATAAATATGTACCACTTTATTATAAAAATTTTTAAGAAAAAAATCCTGAAGATTGTTAGATTAGATTGAATTTTACTTATCAAAAAAGTGAAATTTCAGTAAATTGCTGAAGCTTTACTGTTAGGAGTTAAGATGTGATTTATACAGCAAATTAAAGCTAAAAGATCAAACTTTAAGACTATCTATAAATATGTTCAAGTTTATTATAAAAAATTTTGAGAAAAAATCCTGAAGAAATATGTTAGTTTAGATTGAATTTTACTTATCAAAAAGATGAAAATTTCAGTAAATTGCTGAAGCTTTACTGTTAGGAGTTAAGATGTGATTTACACAGCAAATTAAAGTTAAAAGATCAAACTTTAAGATTATCTATAAATATACACAACTTTATTATAAAATTTTTTGAGAAAAAGTGCTGAAGAGATATTGTTAGTTCAGATTGATTTTTCACATATTAGAAAGGCGAAAACTTAAATAAATCACTGAAGCTTTACCATTAGAAGCTAAGATATAATTCGTACAGCAAATTAAAACTTAAAGATTAAACTTTAAAATTATCTATAAATATGTACCACTTTATTATAAAAATTTTTAAGAAAAAAATCCTGAAGATTGTTAGATTAGATTGAATTTTACTTATCAAAAAAGTGAAATTTCAGTAAATTGCTGAAGCTTTACTGTTAGGAGTTAAGATGTGATTTATACAGCAAATTAAAGCTAAAAGATCAAACTTTAAGACTATCTATAAATATGTTCAAGTTTATTATAAAAAATTTTGAGAAAAAATCCTGAAGAAATATGTTAGTTTAGATTGAATTTTACTTATCAAAAAGGTGAAAATTTCAGTAAATTGCTGAAGCTTTACTGTTAGGAGTTAAGATGTGATTTACACAGCAAATTAAAGCTAAAAGATCAATCTTTAAGACTATATATAAATATGCACAACTTTATTATAAACATTTTTGAGAAAAAATCCTGAAGAAATATTATTAGTTTAGATTGATTTTTACTTATCAAAAAAGTGAAATTTCAGTAAATTGCTGAAGCTTTACTGATAGGAGTTAAGATGTGATTTATAAAGCAAATTAAAGCTAAAAGATCAAACTTTAAGACTATCTACAAATATGCACAACTTTATTATAAAATTTTTCAAGAAAAATCCTGAAGAAATATTGTTCATTTAGATCGATTTTTTACATATTAATAAAAAGGCGAAAACTTAAATAAATCACTGAAGCTTTACCATTAGGAGTTAAGGCGTGATTTATACAGCAAATTAAAGCTAAAAGATCAAACTTTAAGAGTATCTATAAGTATACAAAACTTTATTATAAAATTTTTTGAGAAAAAGTGCTGAAGAGATATTGTTAGTTCAGATTGATTTTTTACATATTAGAAAGGCGAAAACTTAAATAAATCACTGAAGCATTGCCAATAGGAGTTAAGATGTAATTCGTACAGCAAATTAAAGCTTAAAAGATCAAACTTTAAGACTATCTATAAATATGCACAACTTTATCATAAAAATTTTTGAGAAATAATCCTGAAGAAATATTGTTAGTTTAGATTGATTTTTACTTGTCAAAAAGTAAAATTTCAGTAAATTGCTGAAGCTTTACTGTTAGGAGTTAAGATGTGATTTATACAGCAAATTAAAGCTAAAAGATCAAACTTTAAAATTATCTATAAATATGTACCACTTTATTATAAAATTTTTGAGAAAAAATCCTGAAGAAATATGTTAGTTTAGATTGATTTTTACTTATCAAAAAAGTGAAATTTCAGTAAATTGCTGAAGCTTTACTGTTAGGAGTTAGGATGTGATTTATACAGCAAATTAAAGCTAAAAGATCAATCTTTAAGACCATTTATAAATATGCACAACTTTATTATAAAAATTTTTGAGAAAAAATCCTGAAGAAATATTGTTAGTTTAGATTGATTTTTACTTATCAAAACAGTGAAATTTCAGTAAATTGCTGAAGCTTTACTGTTAGGAGTTAAGATGTGATTTATACAGCAAATTAAAGCTAAAAGATCAAACTTTAAGACTACATATAAATATATACAACTTTACTATAAAAATTTTTGAGAAAAAAATCCTGAAGAAATATTGTTAGTTTAGATTGATTTTTTACATATTAGAAAGGCGAAAACTTAAATAACTCACTGAAGCTTTACCATTAGGAGTTAAGATGTGATTTATACAGCAAATTAAAGCTAAAAGATCAAACTTTAAGACTATCTATAAATATACACAAGTTTGTTATAAAAAATTTTGAGAAAAAATCTTAAAGAGATATTGTTAGTTTAGATTCATTTTTTACTTATCAAAGAGGCGAAAACTTCAATAAATTGCTGAAGCTTTACTTTTGGGAATTAAAATGTGATTTATATACTCAATTAAAGCTAAAAGTTCAAACTTTAAGACAATCCATAAATACCTATAACTTTATTTTAAAAATTTTTTAGAAAAAATCTTAAAGAAATCTTTTATCGTTTTCTGCAAGAAGTTTCTTGTATCAAGTTTACGGTTATTCCAACGATGCGCGAAGATCACTTCATTATTTCACCCATTTGAAGTAATGATATCGCCAGAGGATGTCATTGACTGCATATCTGTTGAAAATCAACGAATAAAATCTAATTGATAATTAACTACTTTATACGTGGCAAGCTTTTATCGATTTGTTGTTCCAAGATAACATCGATTTCAAAGTAGTATCGCTACAGGCTTAGCTCAGAGATTCTTTGCAATTGCTTGATTAGACTTGGGTAATCCGTGATGACGATTTACAACTTATTGTAAAATATTTAAGTCCTAATTCAAAACTTAACATGAAAATTGAGCTATTTTTTTTTTCTGCTTTTTTCTTCTTCTACACCTCAAAGATAAAGAGAGATTGATTTTTTTAACAACCACATCTAATGAAAACCCGACAGTCGATTACACGTGTAAATTAAATTATCGTTAGTCATTCGACATCAGTAAAACGCGTGAAATCCATCACAAAAAGGACCCATTTCGCCCCGGCTGTCGACCGCGCGCGCGAATAGAAGGAGGATGATCGAAGGTCTTCTACACGATGTGGAAGGTCCTCACTGTGGCAAATCCGTTAACAATGACGGCACGAGCGTCATCTGTCTTTCCAGGTAGAGTACATCAGAAGAAGAAGAAGAACAGTATTACCTACTTTACACTCTTATATTCCAAACCGTTTAGAACCTCTTCTATCTCTTTCTATACAGTTGTTCATGTCTACTCTTGTTTAAACTCATCACCACCAAGAGTTCAATCTTTGTTGAAAAGTTTCAAAGAACAATAGAACAAAAATTGCCATCTGTCGAAACTCAAGGATGTCGATTTTTGGATGGGCCAGAAAATATATTTTTAAAACCAATAAGAATTTATAATTATGATGCATTTAACATTTGGAAATTGAAAGATTCGATTTTTGACGACCGCCCCTAATGGATTGGTTAAACTAGACCGGCCGATGTCCAGTCTAGCGGTAAAAAGGGCAGGTGCTGGAACAGACAAAGAACCCCACGTGGCAGAACACGCGACGCTAATCCTCAAAACTGATAAAACCACGATTCGAATCCAGAAAAGTTCAAAATCCTCTCTAATGTCCAGTAGTCTCCCCTATTGTAGGTAATTTGTGCGTCCACATTTGGCGAAACCCTTTAACATATTCACCAACACTCGGGATTAGGGGGATAAATGAGCTGGACAAGCGTTTGAAACGGTTTCAAAAGATGCTTTTATTTATGAAAAATGACCAGTTCAAAAACCAGCTAGTATTAACGTTGAGGGTGATTTCAAAAAAGAAATATTTATGTAGTTCAAGTTGGAATGCCGATATAAGTGACAATAAAAAATTGTCCGATTTTCGTAGTCGTTAACGAGAATTTCGAAAAAGGGAACTCTCGCAAAAATAAACTAAAAACGTCTTCAGAGAGAGAGACAATTTCGACTAATTAAAAGCAAACATGCCCACGGAAAATGCACTTCGATTTAGACTTATTGGCGTAATTTTTCAGGCGTAATGGGCCGCCGCGGTCGCTATCGGCCTCCATCTCTCGACTACCGGAGCGGCCTCCGGCTGCCCCAACCCCAACCGCTTTGTACACGTCACGGACCGCATTACGCGGAATTATCTACAGATAAATATAAATATATTTATATATACGCCCGGTCGGTAAGTGCGTCTCTTCGTCTCTTCTTCGTTTCGCACAACAACCCGTCTTTGCCCTAAGAAAACGAGCGAGACCGAGAGATAAAAAGTTCTTTTCTCCTCCTTTCTCAGGTATGTCGCTCTCTTCACCTTGGACATCTATTAAAAAGCGAACGAGCTCTCGAACTGGCCCAAGTTTTGTTCTGTTTTCGCTTACCTCAACTGCACTCTCGATACGCAGCCGTACGTACAAGAGACGACAAGATATTACTGGATAATTTTCTACGTTTGAGAACGAGATCATCTCTTCTTCAACTCCTTTTACGACTATCTAAAACGAATAAAACATCATGAAAAAGATTAGAGTACAAAAATGGTCGTGGAACGATTAAAATCAACTATCTTTAATTGATTTTCATCAACATCTGATAACTTGGTATTTATCAACGAAGAGCATACATAATTTATTCATTTTTATAAATCGATAAATGCTAACCATTTTTTATTAAAGAAAATTTCAGGTCAATGTGGAGTTGCAATGGAGATGAATCTGAAGCTTCTACTTTTCTACAGCGTGAATTACTAAATCCATCACTTACAGATGTTGCCATGAAGTCTTTTGATTTATAGCCTAAATAAAAGTTTTTTATAACCTCAAGCTGTGCCTAATGTTAGAATTTATTATAAATATATTTATCTCCATACTGTACTATGTCATAATCATGCACAGTCTCGTTCTTATTTAATGAGAATCAACGTCACAAATTCGAGCTAGAACCGATATACGTTATATCTGCCTTTTTCCAAATTCAGCAGGTTTAAAGCTTAGGGTCCATATGGATATATAGAACGAATCATTAATTTAGAAAGGTGAGGGATGTTTGTTTTTAAATTCGGCTAAACTCTGCTGTTTGTATAACCCGTGAATATTACGAAAATTTGTGGTGAAATTAGATAGCGAGAAAGGGTAGAATAAACGACAATAAGGACTGAGAATTGAAATAGAAAGGGAGGTGTCACTCAATTAACTGCAATTTAAAAATCCATGTCGAAACTATCTATTAATAGTCTATATAAACATACAAAGACTGTATTCCAAAGTTATTCAACTAGCAGTAATGTGGAAATGGACCTGTTAATACAAAAGTTTATACAGGAGAAGAAAAGAGATTAAGAAGTAGATTAATGTTAAAATAGACGAAAAGATGGAACAACTCGGAAGGATAGACAAGAAAAACAAGAATGGAGAAAAATGGATGTTGAGAGATTAAGATGAGGTGGATCACGTTCTGACACAGGCTATAACCCTTTGAAGGCACCTTACATTATTAGAAAACATAAGACATTGTCAAAACATCTATGTAACAAAACCTCTGAGTTATAGAATAACTGAGATCTGGAGGACCCCATAGTGCGAGGAACAATGCAAGGCTACGTTAAATTCGGGTAATATGGTGAGACTTATTCTGCAAAGTGGCGGTAACTGGGAGTTAATTAAGAAAATGATCACTAAAACAGTAAGAATGTAGGAAGAATATGAAAGGTGGGTAATAAATAAGAGCGAACAAGATGTAAGATGAGGATGAGCACTCTATAAAGAAAGTTAGGTTGGGTTGGGAAATTCAAGGAGCTTCGATGGTATATACATAGAAAAGAAATACGAGGATTAACGAAGAAAATCTCTAGAGACAAAGAGGAAAAGTGAAAGTTTTCACCATTCACAGTAAAAACACCGCATGATGCAATTAAGAGGGTAAAGAGAAAGATTTTGTTGTGGAACAAAAATACTTTTCATTAGATATACAATAACTGACTCAAGAACGGCGTTTTTGCAGCCTCTTAGAAGTCTTTGCCAACCTAGTATTTATAGAAATATCGACGAAAGGCCAACTTATCGTCGAATTTGCCTAGAGATAACAATCACGAAACTGATAAAAATCATTATCAGAAACAACCTAAGTATAGGATCAAAAATTGCTTAGCAAAGACTAATACGGTTTTAGGAGTCAGCCATAAACGCAATAAGAGTTTAATGAGAGATGGAAAAAACTAAGTGTTATTAAGATATTAAAACGTATACGTCATGGTGACTCTGAACATTGAAAATGTTTTTAACTCTGCCTCGTGGAGAAAAATTATGGCGTGCCTCGAAATAATAAGCGGTGTATCTTAGGACCAACGCTATGTACGGTATTTTACGGTGGGGTTCTAAGGATGAAAATGGAAGAAGAAGAAAGTATTAATCTGGTGAACTATGATGACGACTTAGCTCAAAGTATAGTAAGGACTAGAATAGTGAAGAAAGATAAGGCGGAATATGCAGTGGAAAGAGTTATACGGTAAGTAAACCTAATAAAATGAATGAGGATTGCAAGTCACAAGACTAAAGTTGATATTTTGCAACGTAAAAAAAAAGTTAAAGAAATTACGGTGAAAGTGGATGGATAAGATATGCTGAGATATCTAGGTGTATTCCACAAGGACTAAAAGATGACGGCACAAGTCAAAAGAAGACAGAACAGAAATATCAAAACAGGAGCTAGAGAAATCTTCATGAATTTCCCCAGAAGAGTAAAGGTGACGTAGCAACAACAAGAATTTAACAACTTTATAACAACGTAGTCTGCAGTAGTGTGCAAACAGGTCCGGGCTGCCCTAGTTCATAAAAAACAAGTTTCAGTAGTTTCAGTTCATATCAATCAAGTTTTAATCAACAATGTTTGCAGCTTCTATCATCAATACCACCATTAGGGTCAGGTACATAAAATATTTTTCCTCTTCAGCGTAAAAAATGGGGTTGAGTTGGGTTGGGTTGGGTTAAATAAACTTACTAAACAGTACTCTTGTGTCATATATTTAATATATGTTTCATGATTTCAATTTCTGACTGTTCTCAGTTCCAAAATCAATTCTTCCAGCATTATTCAAGGTGCTTGAGAGAGTGATTTTTAAATAACTTTGTGGTCAGTCATTATTGTGGTCACTCTAATATGATGGGTTGATATGTTATTAATTGTAAAGCCACGACCACAAGCAAACTCGGTTTGATCAGATAAAATCATATACCTATACACTTTAGGTGAAGATGATTGTATGTTGTATGCTGATGATACTACATTTATTAGTTGAAGCTCTATTTTGATTGCGGTTACAGCGGTACAAAGTAATACATTTTAATTAGATAAGGTTTGCTTTAATAGCAATAACCTGACCCTAAATGCAACTAAGACACTTAACTCGGTCTTCACCTTGCGCAAATATAACCAGGTAGAACCTGTTCCTGATTGCAAATTTCTGGGTTTATATTTGAGCTCGGGTCTTACATGAGCTGAACATGGGGTTAAGCTAGCCGGTAGACTGAGTTCTGCTGCTTTTTTGCTGAGACAACTGTCTGTTACAGTTTCCACTCATACGCTGTGAACAGTATATTTCTCACTGTATATCACTTATGATTAATAGCCTGGGGCCACTCTAGTATGGCTAAGCAAATTTTCGGGATACAAAGAAGAGCAATAAGAATAGTCAGTTCTGGGATATCGCGACAGTTGCAGAGAAATTTTTAAACAGCTTAGGTGTATGCCGCGTCCATGTCTGTATATTCCAGAATGTATTAAATATATTAAAACAATATGGATTTATAAACGAAAAATAACCAATTACATAAATATCGAACCCGGCAACATGACCACATACGGCAAAATAGGATTCGATTGAATCGATTAAAAAATGGTGTAAACTATGATTGTGTTTAATTGTTTAATGTTTTACACAACCAAGACAGAGAGCTATCTCCAGAAGTTTCTTTTAAGGCCCCTAAAAAAGTTCTTAATTGATAAGACTTATTTCGATATTGAAAAGCTTCTGGCTAATCCGAAAGGGACAGTGTTGTGTTTGTTACTTGTTGATTAGATTTATGTCTATATGTTACATATTACGGATTTTTTAGCGATTTTGTCATCGCTATTTTTTTTATGTAGCAATCCCCCATTTTTATTACGGATATGAAAGAGGATTTTTTTCTGAATTTGTTACAGCCAAAATTAATATTAGTTTCATAAGAAAATTTTCGAGAAAAATTGCCTTGAAGTTTCATGATGTTCCATTCATTTGAGGTAGAAAAATAGCAGTAGCCATGCGTAACCATGACAACCAGTTGTTTTAGATATTTTATTAAGACTGATTAATTTTTGATATCTGAAACTGTTGGTTGCCATGGTTACGCATAGCTATTGCTATTTTGTTATCTTAAATGAATGGAAAATCATGACACTTTCATATAATTTGTAACCAATATTAATATTGACTGTACAAGATTCAGAAAAAATCCTCTTTCATATTTCGTAATAGAAATGGGGTATTGCTATTTGAACAAAAATTTGGATGGCATCATTACTCGTTTAAAAATGGCGGAAATTGCAAAATATTTAAATCTTTAGACCCGTTTCAACGATTTTTCCATGAACTGTTCTTAATTGTTTTAACGAATTTATCCGTTACTTTTGGGAAACCCTGTATATCTAGTGTTAGTTCTAGTTTTTTTTATTCACATTCATATTTATTTCAGTAAAGTACAAAAACTATACAATATTATGCCAAAAAAGATATTACAATAACTTGCATTTAGAAAATGAGTCGGTTAAAATTATAAACAATCATAATATTCTTGGACTGAATAAAACTCCTTTTCCAGGAGCATATTCTTCGCAGAAGTTCCAAATTCTTTAGTTTCCATACTTTTCATTTCATGTGGTAGCGCATTATAGAATTTCATGAATATCTAGTGGTAAGTTTTTTGTGATTTTGCCACTCTGTGGAAGGGAATTACAATATGTTCCTTGTAGCGCGTGTTGTGATCGTGATTGTCTGCATTGTTTAGTAGCGAGTCTTTTTTGTTGTGAATATACTCAAGGCAGGTAAGTATAAAACGCATGGCAAGGTGAGTATTTTTAATTTTTTGAAGTGAGTTCTGCAGCTCTCATGATTTCTTAGCCCACCTAATATACGAATTGCCTTTTTTCACCCCACGTAATAATCTCATACGTCACAATGCTGTAGAAATATGCAAAGTATATGTTACGCAGTGTATCTGGTGGTAGGTTGCAACGTATAGTCTTAACACAATATAAGGCATCTATTTAAGCGTTTCGGAGATGATAACTCCAAGGAACTTTATGGATTTATCGGTTACCTCATCATTTTGTTTTGTGTAAAAAGTGAGTATATTTGTTTTTTCTTTATTTAGTTTTAATTTGTTTATGGAAAACCAATACTCCTCTGCCTTTTTAATGTTTTGTTTTGTTTTTTCTTCAAGCCTCTTGATATCACCACTTCTTGTAACGAAAGATGTGTCATCCGCATAAAGACCAATTAACTCTGTTGGGATACTTTCTGGCAAATCATTAATATATATGAGGAATAATAACGGTCCCAAGATCGAACCCTGGGGTACTCCTCTTCTTCCTTGCAAATATGATGCTAGAATCTTCAATGCATTTTCTCTTAATCCATATTTTAATAATAATATTGAATGGTTCACCGAATCGAAGGCGTTGGTTAAGTCGGAGAATGCAATTTGAGTGAATTTTTGTCAATCAAAACCGTGGATTATAGCTTTTATTACGCTGAGTAAGACAGTTATTGCAGACCTTTGTTTTTGGTATCCATGTTGACAGATTGTAAGCAATTTGTTATCGTTGAGATAGTCTACTATCTTTTTATTTACTACAGTTTCAAATATTTTTGATATGGTTGGTAAAATTGATATTGGTCTATAGTTATTGCATATACCTTTCTCACCTTTCTTATATATAGGTGTTATCTTCGCCAGCTTGAGCTCTTTCGGAGACTCCCTCGTGGTGGTATATTCTGGTATATTTTTATTGAACGAAAAATAGAACTACCACTAGATCTAGAACTAGAAACATTCCGTTTAGCCGTGCGTCTCTTAAGACGGTCGAAAACTTAGGGTTATCCTAAGGATGTCACCTTTTTCCAAGCAAAATTTTTCCTTTGCAAAACTACCCAATGCCTGTACTATTAGGCTATGTCACATTTTATGTGGGACAGTGCAAGTGAATAGTAGTTTCGTAATTATGGTTGGCGCAGCAATTTGATATGATACTAATTGTAGCGCCTCGGCCGCAAGCAACCTCGGCTTAATCAGATAAAATCGTATATATATTTCAATTAAAGCCGAGGAACAGCAATTTGATGATCAGTTTCGGAATAAAAATATTCAAGATAATTTGATGCAAGATAAGTAGTATATTTGAAATACGTTTATGTATTTTTTGAGAAAAATTTATTTTGAAGGCGCGGTTCCTGTTGATATCGATAGCGTCTCTTCTCCTACTACTACTGCTGTTATTCCTGCTGGGTTTTCCGTGTCCGTCCCACGACGAGCCCGCGTAGTTGTCGTCCTCTGGGGCCCCCCTATTCGGAGGCGTGGCTCGAAACGCCACACGCCGCCGCTGCTGGGGCCGCCAACCATCCATCCGCCTTCGGACGGTTGTACCGCGCGGACGTAGAAACGGTTGTTAACCGACGACTGACGGTGGAACTCGCGCACCGAAATGTGTTTTCGCGGTCGCAACTATTTCGTTCTTCTCTGTGTATTAACCCCAATAACTAACAATAATTAATACAATCCAAACGAAAATAAGTTTTCAAATAAATCTCGTTTGTTTCGAAAAGGTTATAAACAAAATCGACGCTGTGATAATAACAACAAAAAAAAATTGAACAGAATCGGAGGTGAATCTAAAGAAAAGCATAAGAAGTGTATAAGAAAAAGTTTTTTTGTACTGAAAAATTATCGGAGACAAAAGTGAAGTTTTGTGGATTTTTTCGGTTGTTGTTGTTTATTTTGGTTTTGCGGATTTAAGTTTTTGGTTTAAATAAATTTATTTTTATAATTGTGGTGAATTTTGGGATTTGAGGGGGGTTGTGGTTGATATAGCGACTTTACCGGGTTTTTCCGAGCTGCAGATGGGAGTGTTTGAAGAGGGGACTTCATGCACACCCGGGATGCATTGGGTACGTATTTAATTAAGCAACATTATTTTGAAACAATTAGTATTAATAAATTAATTGAACCGGGCCGACAACAAAGTTTGTTTACAAAATAATCTTACTATCTGCATCTTAAACATTGACCTCGTTGGTCAATAGAAAGGCATTTTCTAAAGAAAACTTATGCAATACACTTATAATCAGGTTTTATTGTAAGGATTTAATACATTTTGCAAACTCTATTTATTTTTCATTTCGTTGCCTCTTATAATACTTCAACTTTTTAATTGGGCACTGAAAATAAGTAAATCAGTCTTTACAACATTTGACATAATACAAGTTGAAGGAATTTGGTTATCTATAACAAAATACTTAGGTAAAGTATTTAGTTATCATAAATATTTGCATTTATATGTGGTGGTTGTATTCGAAACGAACGAAATAGATAAAAAGGAAATTAAACATTAAAAGCTAAACAAGTCTCTGGAAGCTAAATAATAATAAAATAAAGATGTTATTCCTTAAGAATTTGAAAAACAAAAAGGATTCATTTTTTGAATTCACGTGCGTAGTAAATATTTTGACTCGTTGCCAATTCGGTAAATAAATTTACCAGACAGTCACTATTTATAAAACCATAATCGCCGATTAACATCTATTATTAATATTATTATTAAACCATATCCAAAAATACCAATTTATTGCCATTAAAAGGTTAAATTACTAATAGAATAAATCGACATAAAAGTCATATACAATAGATAATTATTTGTGGTATGCAAATATTTGGGATTCTCCTAAATTTCCAACAAAACTATGCGGACTAAATATATATTAATAATAAATATGTTTTATGTACATCGTATTTTTTGTTTTAAAAAAAATCATTTGCAGTTTTAATGAGAAGTTTTCGAATTTTCAATTTCATGAATGTTGTTTCATTAACTTTTTCATTAAAATATGGTTTCAATTAAACTGATTTATTTATTTTAATGTTGTTTTTGTATACTAAATATTCATTGTTTGATTTAAATATAAAAATTGAATCAGAAGAAATTTCTTCTTTAAAATGATGTATTATAGTCGAGGATTATTTAAAAAAGATGGCCAAAATGATCCAAGATAGAAAGGTCTAAAATTATGATTGATTTCGAAGAAGCAAAAATATAAAGAAAATTCAAAAAATCGCTCTGAATTTGTTTGTGGAGATAGAAAAATGATTTTTAGATTAAAATAAAGCTTGAATTGTCTTTTTTAAAATGATGTGTCATAATCCATAATTACTTAAAAAGTTATGGATTGATATGGACTGATTAAGAAAAAAATTAAGGAAATTAAGAAAAATTAAAAAATCACTCCTACTTTATTTCTAAACTTTAAGAAATGAGTATAAGCTTAAATTAAAGCTTGAAATCGCTTCTTTAAAATGATGTATTATGATTAATGATGTCATGAAAAAGATAGCTAGAATGATGGAATGTGTACAAGTCTAAAATTTTGATTGATTATGAAGGAATAAGAAAAAATTGTAAAAATTTTAAAAATTGCTCTGACTTTATTTATAAAGGTTAAGCAATAATTTTTGCTTTAAATTAGAGCTTGAAATGTATTCTTTAAAATGGTGTGTACCAATCAATACACACGTGTACAACATCTGCCAAAAAGGGTGCTGATCTCCATGTCACTCATAAACATGCCATCCAAAACACCCAACGCTGTCCCATTTGGATCACTTTGACATTGCTAAAGTCAGTTAAAGATATTTAAAAATTCCCGATAGTTGTTAAAATGATTTTTTAGAATTTTCATGGAATTTTAATGTACCTCTATGGAATCAATCATTTTTACTGCTTCCCAGGAATTTTTAACAATTCTTAACCATAGTGAAAAGTATCTTTTGGTTCTAAATAATTTAAGAGAATATTAAATATATTTTCCAAGACTTTCCAGAGATTTTTTCAGATACTTTCCAATAATTATGATTTTTTTATGTATTATCAAATGATTTTTTATAAAATTTCTATAAATATCCAAGGATACTCTTTCTTCTCCGTTTATATCACCTCCAATCTTCTTCCTCCTTCGTCTTCATGTTTTGTTTCATCTAGTCTCTTTACATTACAGGCAACTTTACGTTTCCCTTTAATTATTTTCACCCTTATTTGAAGCATTACTTCTTTTTCTTCATCTTTTATTTTATCCTATGGGTTTTCATTCTTGAGGTATTACCTCTCAACTACATCAACACCTTAAAAAATCAGCTTTTCTTCATCCTATTCTTCGTACGGATGATTTTTCTGGAATTCTAAGACCATTATCTTGAAAAAAAATAAAATTAAAATCGAAAATAAAGAGCAATATTTAATCGTGTCGGCTTTCATTTAGGAGATATTCTGTTTTAAATTGACCAATCTTAGCGTTTTTGTTAAAAATTTAAACTTTAAAAGCAAATATCTCAAGAATGAACGTTGATATGAAAAAATGTTATTCTTCTTTTTCAATTGAGTAATCATTTTTTTACACAATCAACTTAACCGAATTTCTCCAAATATGGTTATTAATAAACACCATCCTAAAAAGTGATTAAAAATGTTAATTTTTATGGTAAACTTTTATTTCTTCATCCTCTACTTCGCTGAGATGATTTTTTTCAAATTCCTAGATCATTATCTTATACAAAAATAGAATTAAAATCGAAAATAAAGAGCAGTAGTTTATCGCATTGGCTTTCATTTTAAAGATAATCTCTTTTTAATCTGTTCATGTTCGAGTTTTTTGCAAAAATTAAGAGTTTTAAGGCAAATATCTCAAGAACGAAGATCGATATGAAAAAATGTTGTACTTCTTTTTCGATTTAGTAATCATTTTTTTACACAATCAACTTAACCGAAATTCTCCAAATATGGTTATTAATAAACACCATCCTAAAAAGTAATTAAAAATGTTAATTTTTATGGTAAACTTTTATTTCTTCATCCTCTACTTCGCTGAGATGTTTTTTTTTTCAAATTCTTAGATCATTATCTTATAGAAAAATAAAATTAAAATCGAAAATAAAGAGCAGTATTTTATCGCATTAGCTTTCATTCTAAAGATAATCTGCTTTTAATCTGTTCATGTTCGAGTTTTTTGCAAAAATTAACACTTTTAAGGCAAATATCTCAAGAACGAAGATCGATATGAAAAAATGTTGTTCTTCTTTTTCAATTTAGTAATCATTTTTTTACACAATCAACTTAACCGAATTTCTCCAAATATGCTTATTAATAAACACCATCCTAAAAAGTGATTAAAAATGTTAATTTTTTATGGTAAACTTTTATTTCTTCATCCTCTACTTCGCTGAGATGATTTTTTTCAAATTTTTAGATTATTATCTTATAGAAAAATAAAATTAAAATCGAAAATAAACAACAGTATTTTATCGCATTAGCTTTCATTCTAAAGATAATCTCTTTTTAATCTGTTCATGTTCGAGTTTTTTGCAAAAATTAAGAGTTTTAAGGCAAATATCTCAAGAACGAAGATCGATATGATAAAATATTATACTTCTTTTTCGATTTAGTAATCATTTTTTTACACAATCAACTTAACCGAATTTCTCCAAATATGATTATTAATAAACACCATCCTAAAAAGTGATTAAAAATGTTAATTTTTTGTGGTAAACTTTTATTTCTTCATCCTCTACTTCGCTGAGATGGTTTTTTTTCAAATTCTTAGATCATTATCTTATAGAAAAATAAAATTAAAATCGAAAATAAAGAACAGTATTTTATCGCATTAGCTTTCATTCTAAAGATAATCCCTTTTTAATCTGTTTATGTTCGAGTTTTTTGCAAAAATTAAGACTTTTAAGGCAAATATCTCAAGAACGAAGATCGATATGAAAAAATGTTATTCTTCTTTTTCAATTTAGTAATCATTTTTTTACACAATCAACTTAACCGAATTTCTCTAAATATGATTATTAATAAACACCATCCTAAAAAGTGATTAAAAATGTTAATTTCTTGTGGTAAACTTTTATTTCTTCATCCTCTACTTCGCTGAGATGATTTTTTTCAAATTTTTAGATTATTATCTTATAGAAAAATAAAATTAAAATCGAAAATAAACAACAGTATTTTATCGCATTAGCTTTCATTCTAAAGATAATCTCTTTTTAATCTGTTCATGTTCCAGTTTTTTGCAAAAATTAAGACTTTTAAGGCAAATATCTCAAGAACGAAGATCGATATGATAAAATGTTATTCTTCTTTTTCGATTTAGTAATCATTTTTTTACACAATCAACTTAACCGAATTTCTGCAAATATGATTATTAATAAACACCATCCTAAAAAATGATTAAAAATGTTAATTTTTTATGGTAAACTTTTATTTCTTCATCCTCTACTTCGCTGAGATGATTTTTTTCAAATTTCTAAATTATTATCTTATAGAAAAATAAAATTAAAATCGAAAATAAAGAGCAGTATTTTATCGTATTGGCTTTCATTCCAGAGATATTTTCGTTTAAATCGATCAATGTTGTAGTTTTTTTCAAAAATTGAGACTTTTAAGGCAAATATCTCAAGAACGAAGGTTGATATGAAAAAATGTTATTCTTCCTTTTCGATTTAGCAATCATTTCTTTGCATAATCAACTTAAATAAATCTCTCCAAAGATAATTATTAATAAATACCATTTGATAATATAAATAAAAATGTCAATTTTTTGAAATAAAACTTTATTTCTTGTTATTCAAATCCGTTAAGATATTTCGAAATTCTAAGTTTGTTATCTTGTAGAAAAATAGAATTAAAATCGAAAATAAAGATAATAGCTTTCATTCCATACATATTTTAGTTTAAATCGGTCAATGTTATAATTTTTTGCAAAAATAAGACTATGAAAATATGAAATATGAAAAAATGTTATTCTTTCATTTCGATTTACCAATTATTTCTTTACACGATCAACTCATACGAATTTCTACAAAAATGATTATTAATAAGCACCATCCATAAAAGTGAATAAAA